GGTGACACCAGGCTCGCTCCGGGGGAGTTCACCCTGATTGCCCTGGGCATCTCGTTAGTGAGTGGCTGAGGGGCAGCGTGGAGACATGGCCCAGCTTTCCTTGTGGCAGAGTGGCTCAGGGCCACCCGTGTGATGTGGGTGGTCAGGACGTCCCAATCAAGCGCATCCGCCGAGGCCAGCCATTCTGGGTGCTGCTGGGTGCTGCTGGAACTAAGGGGCCTGAAACCCTGGGTGGAAACCCCGGAGGGCTTGCAGGGGACCGGAGGAAGGAGAGGAGCCAGACAGCCCTGTGCTCCGACCATCTTTCTGGCTGACACAGAGCCTGGACAAGCGCCCTGCGAATGGAGACTGCCCCCACTCCCACCCTGTGAAAGGCACTGAAAAATGAGACCGGGTTGCCGCAGCTCAGAGAGGACCAGACGCCACCAGTCTCCCCAGAATGGCAGCTCTGCACGGCGCAGGTGCAGGGCACACGCCTGGAAGACCTGTGGCGGTCTCTGAGGGAAAGGGCAAGCCTTCAGCCAGAGGCCCTCGCAGGAGATGTTTGAAGGAATTGAGGCAGCGCAAATGGACTGTCGAAAGTGTCTGTAAGGCTATGGAGACAATTTGAGGTCGCCACCTCATCTGTCCTCGATGTGACCTCTCCCACAGTTAAAAGCAAGGAAGCGCTTTTCAACACGCAAAGCACGCTACCCCTGTGCATTGTCACGGCAGCCCCTGTGCGTGCTCTCAGTCGCTGCAAAACCCGTCGTGGGTGAAATAAGGAAGCCCCTTTCAGGCTTTGTTGGAAGAAGCCAACCGTTTCCCAGGGTGGGATTCCTGGGATTTACTATGAATGTAAAAGCCACGCCGTTGATGACTTCTTGGGATTGGAAGGAGTGCAGGGACACTGGCCGTGTTCTGCTTCCATTCATGAGGCATCTGTCTGCTCTCTGACCTTTACTGTCTGATCTTTGCTCTCTGACCTTTTAGTGTCTGATAGTGCTTCATGTTGGTCTTAAGGTGTTCAGCATCCAGTCGGTGTGGAGTGGAGAACAGCTCAATGTAGTGAAGGCCCAAACCCTCACGACTGGAGCACTGGAGTGCAGCATCGCGATGCAGAGAAATGACTGCCATACCGAGTCTGTGGTGGTCACGGGCAGAGCAGTCAAGAGACCAACGACAGGTCTCATTAAAGTGTCGAAAAGCAGGGAGGGTGCTGTGAGAACGAAGGTGCACCTGACCCAAGACGAGGTATTTTCAGTCACCTCATGTGCACGTGAAAGTTGGACATTGAATAAGGAAGACCAAAGAAGAACCGATGGATTTGACCTGTGGTGCTGGAGAAGACTGTTGCCAGTACCATGGGCTGCTAGAAGGACAAACAGTCTATCTTGATAGAGGTACGGCCGGAGCACTCCCTGGAGGCAAGGATGGATGGGTTTCTTCTCACGTACTTTGGACATGTTGGGAGAGACCAGTCTGGAGAAGGACGCCCTGCTGGTGAGTGGAGGGACAAGAGAAATGCCCTCAGACAGACGGACGGACCGGGCTGCTAGCACGGGCTCAAGCACAGGAGCGATTGTGAGGGCGGCACTGGGCCGGTGGTTCCGCGCCGTTGTGCTGTGGATCAGAACTGATTGTAGGCCAGGGCCTTGAACTGGTTCTTCCCGGTTCAGACATGGCCAACCAAGCAACGTCAGGACAAACTCAAATTTATAAATGTGCGTGAACCAGAACCCTAGTTATAGCAAGAAGAATCACAAGCTGGCACCCTGCTGAATAGAAACTCAACTTCCGTGTTTGAAAACAAGGGCAGAGTGGGTGTCGTATAGCCACCACACTTCTCGATTGGCACAGTTGCAACAGTGGTGCCAGGATCACAGATGGCGGCAGTCCTGCTGCTCGGAACATCAGTGTGGCACTCCCAGTCCTGGCAGTGACCCGCCTCCAGCTCTGGAAAGGGCTCTGTGCCTCTGCCCAGCCTCCTGCTCCAGCGCTTTGCCCTGTAATGGTTCCTGGGGATACCCACTGATGCTTCAGCTTTGAGGTTCAGCTCTGGTTTTGCTCTGTTGGCCATGACTGGACTGTTTGGGACTGTTGGAGCCCTGATGTAGGTGGGTAAGTACACAGATAGATACAGGTTTGTGTGCCTATGTGTGTGGGCATGCATGTATGCAAACATGTTTGTGTGTCTGTCTGTGTGTATGCACATCGGTGTGCTATGTGTGCTTAGGTTCAGGTAAGCTCAGCCAATGCTTGCTTTGTTTGTCATTAACCCTGCAAGTGGCCACTGGACTTCCGGTTGTGCATCTGACATTCTGT